GAATATCACATACAGATTTAACAGACAAAGATGTTTTCAATGCCTAAAGCCATCAAGGGTTATTTACATGAGAAATTTTTCAAATCAGAATGCTAAAGAAAAATCAAAGGCTTCAAGCAAACATGGACCATGAAAGAAACGCCAAATAACCAGCAGGCATCACAAAAGGGTCCTTGGCTTATCATCAAATAAATGAAATAAATGTAATCAGTGTGGCCATTCCTGTGTACTTATAACAATTATAAAAGTTACAGGGAGAAATGCGACATTAGCAAACGTTACTAAAAGTATGAGGAAACAGAAATCTTTGCATCATGCTGGCAGGAAACAAATCCTTGGTCAAAATGTACATATCCCACAACTCCATAATCCCATTCCCAGGTAGGTAATCACATATTGCTGTGTAAGAAATTACTCCAAGGTAGAATGACTTAACACAACCACCACTTATTATTCTCATGTATTTGTGGGTCAAGAATCTAGAAGGGGGTTTATCTGAGTGTTTCTGAGACGGGATCCCTCAAAACACCACAACCCAGGGCCTCCTGGAACTGGAGGCATCTCAAGGGGCAAGATGTCTGCTGGGCACCTCAAAAGACCCACTGCCAGAAACCCTCACATCACCACTGGCAGGCCTGAGCGCCTTGCTGGCTGCTGGCCACCTTGAAAGACCCACCGCCAGGAACCCTCACATCACCACTGACTGGCAGGCCAGAGTGCCTTGCTGGCTGCTGGCCACCTCGAAAGACCCACTCCCAGAAACCCTCACATCACCGCTGGCAGGCCTGAGCCCCTTGCTGACTGCTGACCACAAACACCGGGGCTTGATGGTCTGTTGGTGCTAGGATTTTTGTGCCATGTGGACCTCTCTGTAGGGCTAGTTTATCACGTGGTATCTTGCTTCCTCTGGAGCAAGGGTTGCAAAAACAAGGAGAATGGAAATGGCAAGAAAAATAAGTCACAATATTTTTGCATACAAATCTCAGAAGTGATCTCCCACTGTGTCTATCACAGTGTGTTTGTTATGAATCACTACATCTGGCTCACATTAAAAGAAAGGAGATTAAAAGGGGGCGTGAAAATCAGTAGGCCGGAATCACTAGCACTGACTTAGAGGTCACCTACCACATTGAAGATTCACCCTGGAAACTCCCCATCAATGCACCAGAAAGTAGGAACGCGACTGTTCATTTCAGCACCGTACACAAGATGGGTGCCGACAACCAGATGACTAGTGATGGTGGAAAGACAGGTAAGAGAAAATGCATCACATGCATAGAGAATACTACATAACAAAAAACTAAGGCAGATTTATATACAACACCACAGGTCCATCTCAGAAGATTAACTTCTAGTATAATTAAGAGTAAGATTTTTAGCATCATTATCCATAGTTAAACTGAATCCATAAACATTACAAGGTATATTAGTTAGCACTTCATTACTGTAACAAAATTCCTGGGACGAACTGCTTACGAATGAAGGAAGTTGACGATTTATTTTTTCTAGGTTCACTGTACAAGGCCAGAGTGACCCTGCCATCTCAGCCTCCGGCTGAAGGCATTTTTACTAGCAGAATCCAAAGTCAGCACAGAGCCCAGAAAGACGCAGCACATGTACTGCGTGGTAAGCAAGACAGCAGAAGTAGATCCAACCCAGCTTTTATAACCAGCCCTCGCAGCGGAAGTACCCTGAAAGCACACGCATTCAATGACCTAAGGCTATGAGGCTTACCTCCTATAATGGGAGTAAGTTCACAACCCCTTAACTAGACAGGACCACAGTCCATTGCACACAAAGACAACCTATAATATACTTCTAGTCTTTTGCAAAGAGAAAGGTTTTATTACTTGCTAGCAAGAAGGCAGGAGATAGTAATTTAAACCTGTCTCTATTGTGGGGGTCTGGAGAAAGTTTAGTGCGTTAAGTAGTAAAGGCCAGTATGCACAAACTCTGGCCATGCACATTGTGATTGGATTAGCCTGTGATAAGGCCAGTTCCAGATTTCTGTATTCAAAATTTTTCCCTCCTTAAAGTATTCCAGTACTTTCAAAATCTGGTTCTTTGGTTCTACCAGCTACTTTCCTTCTTCTGGGCATGCCCAGGTTGATGTGCGGTCACAGCTCTGGGTTCCTTTGAGTGTGTGCTATCAAAACTCTACCTACCCTGAAAAGTGGGGGGTCATGTGAGGACCAGCAGCACAGGCCATCATCCGCAATGCCAACCAAGTGCTTGGACTTCTCCCAGGCATCTGGGAAACCTGCACGGAGCTTCCAGTTCCTGCCTTCAGACTTCCCCAGACTATTGGTGCAATGAATCAGGGGATAGAGAATGTTCCCTCTTCCAGTTTAAAAATAAATAAATAAAACAAAAACCACAGGAACCTCACATCCATCATTAAATCACATCAAATCACAAAATAAGGGAGGGTCTCAGGGAAAGAATGAGGAAACACAATTCTGAAAGGCAAAGACGGTCACAGGCATCTTCCACGTACTGGGGTTCACTCGCAAAACGCTTCCAACAGCAAGCGAGGCCAGGCACAAACCAGGAGCCTGCGACTCAATCCCAGTGTTCTTCGTGCATAGGGAGAGCTATGGACTTGAGCCATCACTCTTCACCTCCCAGGGTGCAAAACAAGCTGAGACTTGAAGCAAGTTAGGATTTAAACCCACACTCTGGCATGGCAATGAACTGCTGTGCCAAACACCACTTTGACACTCAATGTTTTCAGTAAGGTAGCAGCAAGTGACCTCAAGCGCTACGGTCATGGCAATTGCAGCTTCTGATACGTTGGGATCGCCCCCTCTTCTTTTTCACTGGTCAGTTCTATTTGCTTTCCTTTACAGCACTTCCAGCCCTTTTACGTCAGATCATCTGATGACTACTGCTTTTCCATTAACCCTACAAAAACTGGACTCCACAATCTTAAACAACAGAACTCTCATTTTACTGATGAACACACTGAGTCTCGGAGAAGGTACTTGCCTAAAGGTCACAGCCATAAAGCAGGAGCTGGGATGTCAAAGTGGGAATTCTGACTCGAGCCTTGGCACTTCTTATACTCCCTTCATACATATACATTTCCCCATGACACCATATTACAAGAAATGTGATTTTATGATTGAAACAGATAATGTTACGTCCTTGTTGCTTAGAAAATGGAAAATGATTTGTGACAATGGAAAATTTCATTTGTGAAATAAAGTGAACTGACAGGTCTTTTCTTCTGGGACAATCCATTCCTATGCTTACAGTAACTTTAAGCACAGATCTGCTAATGTGTACATGGGTTAGTCAGTAGGAAGTTCCAGAGAAGGTCACAATCCTGTTGGACCATTTCCCCACATTAGACTGTCTCTCATTATAGAGGACTTTAACATCATCCTTTGCTAGCATGAGCACTAACAACTAAAAGGGAGCAAGGAGGCTCCTCACGCTCTTCTGAACAAATTCCATTAGGAATTTATGAGGAACAAAAACACCCATCTCACCTATTTCTCTAGACAAACAATGCTTGCTTAATAAAATGAATTTCAAAGATACAGAATATGAGCTACCTATTAACTATGCTGCACATGAAACCACCCCCAAAGATGATGAATATTCTCTCATACTCATGGGTCTATGAGTTAAGATGACACAGCTTCAGATGTCCCATTCTGAACCCAAATGGGAGACATAGCTACCCAAGGCATGTTTTTGTGGTGGTAACAGGATGTGGAATTAAGCAAAGCCTGTCTTCTCATAGTAGCATCTCATTGTCAAACCAAGTCACACATTCATGCCTAGAGCTGAGGCAAAGATGCACATTCCACCGCTCAAGGGAGATGTGTGGTTTTGTTCACTATGGAACTGAAAACTAACAATTTAGTCCACCATACAGAAGACTTGTAAATCTCTCCAAATAGTTCCCCTATCTGAAAACACCCCTTGGTTTAAATGGCCCCAGCAAAAAGAACAATACTCTCAGAAATAACACTTTATTTTCTAATTTCTTACTAGCTACCCCTTACTGTGAACCCATTTCCTATGGAAGAACAGGGCCTGGGCTTGGTGGAGATGGAGTCGCTCTCTTCCTTGAGCTCTGAGATCTGGGAACTCGCAGTGGGGGCTGTAGGAGCAGGCCTGAGATCACGCACATGTTTCAGTCCCAAGGGCAGATGGGGAGGAGGAAGGGAAAGACCCCCAAGCTAGAAGAGTGTGCCTGTGGACTGTGCCTGGGGTCTTGCACACACACTTGTGTCCAGAGGACCAGTTCTGGGGACCTGGCCATAATCTCGGGTCTGTGGTGGGCAGGCAGAGCTCTAGGTCAGCTTGTCACTTCATCAGAAGACTGGGCTTGGGAAAACCATCTCCGAGCCAGCTTCCTGTCCTTGTTCTGAGAAAGCATTGGAAAAGGCCTAAGCACTTACGTCTCTGACACCCATGTAGAAGACCAGATAGAGTCCCGGGTTCCTGGCTATGGCCTGGCCCAGTCCTAGCCATTGCATCTATTTTAGGAGTAAACTAGCAGATGGAAGCTCTCTCTCTCTCTCTCCCTGTCAGTCTTTAAATTGGAAAAAGAAAATTTAATATATTAAATAAATTTAATAATTTTTAGGGTCAGCACAGTGGCATAACACTTTAATCCTCCACCCTGTGATACCACAATCCTTTTTGGGCTCCAGTTTGCATCCCAGCTGCTCCACTTCTGATACAGCTCTCTGTTTGTGGCCTGGGAAGATGGCAGAGGACAGCCCAAGGCGTTAGGACTCAGCATCCAAGTGGCAGAGTTAGAAAAAGGTCCTGCTGCCCAGCTACAGATCACCTTGGCTCTGGCCGTTAGAGGGAACCAGTGGATGGATGTAAAACCTACCTTTCAACATAAATGAAAAACTTTGAAGAAAGTTTTGTTTGTTTGTTTTCAGGAAAGAAAAATGGTACTAAAATATAACAATTCCACCTTGGAAAACTGCATGAGAAACCCCCTGTTGTAAATACGATACTAAAGCATCCACTTCAAGGACACAAAACGAGGAAAGATGTTTTATTTTGATCATTTCAAAATTCTCACTATAGAATAAACAGACACAGACTACCTGTGAGCACCTGCTGTGTGGCCACGCTTACCTTGGAAAAACTAGACAAAGCAGCCGTACTAGGTTAACAGCATGGACCGCATGTGCTTTTTAGATCCAAAAATTATGCAGACAAAAAGGGAGCCACTAAACAAAGTTCAAGTCTTTACTCAACTTCCAAATTAGGGAATCTAATTTTTTTTAAAGGAAATTTACCCATTTATTAAGTGTGGATTTTAGTTATCTCTTAGTTCTTACATACTAAGTAATCCTGATCTCACTTATAAAAACAGAATCTTAGCATTCGATTCTCAGGACTCCTGAGAATCCAAGCCAAGGCTTGTCTTTCAGGGTGGATGTGAAAGGCATTTTTCATTCAAATCTGACTCGTGGTTTTATAAAACATGTATCTTACTTTCATTACTACCACCTAAATACTGGAATCCACTTTTTTTTTAATGGCGTTGTACTCAATGATAGCAACTAATAGAGAAAGTTACTTTCAATTCATAAACTAAAATCATTGAGATCACAGGAGGACATTTTTAGGACATAAAGCAACTACTGTCCAGGAAAAAAACACAAAGCAACAGGTTTTTATTTAACCTTTCAGTAACTGCAAAAATCTAGAAACTTCAAATTTCTTCTTTCTACTATAATAAAGATAATCTTGAATGTAAAAGCATTTGAAGATGCTAATTTTATTTAGTTTCTCCGATTGTCCAATATTAAGCTGAGACAAATCTCTCTAGCCTGAGAACATATAAAATGATGAAAAGTCGATCAAAATGGATAGCAAGTTCATATTAAATTATTCTGCAAATGCTCATAAAACAATAAAAATAATATAAGCACTTTTTTTGGCTTGAGATTTAATGTTCAAACAATAGCAGTTTTCCAGCTTTTAAATCTAACAGTGTGATATATGAAAATATAATAATACCTCAATACTAAAAAAAGATAAAGATCCCATATATCAAATGGCCTAACATTAGTACTTATACTCTAACATTTCATTAAACTTCACAGCTATCAAACCTTTGCAGTTTGAGTGAGCAAACAAATTTCAATATTTACTTAGCTTTAAAATTAAACTTCTCATCTGAGATTATTGAGGCAAAAATAGAGTATACAGTGAAGGCTATTTTGTCCAATTTCCTGAGTCCAGATACCGAAGCAGAATACAACATGATCTATTATGTCATCATTGATGCACCTTCTTCACCAGTGGCATCATGGGAAATATGGAGGTCTTCAAGCATCTCGGCCAGACTAATCCGAGGTGCTCCCTCATCATCTGTGTCACTTTCCACAGGAATGGTTGAATCTAAGAAAAACAAAGGTAAGGCAGATTTCAAACAAACTACAGTAACATGCAAATATCTGACCCAACCCTTCTCATCATTAGTATTAATAAACTAACTTAATAAATGTACAAATAAATTACACAGACCAGTAACTTGAAGGATCACACTAGGGTAAAAAGTGGGTGTGGTGGCAGAGTTGGTTAAGCTAATCCTTGGGACAGCCACACTCGTATCAGAGTGCTGGTTCAGGCCCTGCCTACTCCATGTCTGACCCAGAACTCTGACAACATGCTTGGGAAGCAGAGACCGAAGCCCCTGCCCCATCCCAGAGAGCCAGTGAAGCTCCTGGCTCCTCGCTTTAACCTGACCCATCCCTGGCTGCTGTGCCATTCGGGGAGTGGACCAGCAATGGGATCCCTCTTCTCTCCCTGCCTTTAAAACAAGCATTTCTTTAAAAGATATCAAATGTGGTAAACCAATAACAATCTGATAAACTTTATTTTATACTTTCTTTTTTTAAAGGTATAATTATAGTGGATTAAAAAGCAAGAAATAAATGTGAGTTATGGAAACCAAGTATAACAAACAAAATACTAATCCTGGATATTATTTATAATAAGATTCAAATCAAACACTCCTAAAATACTAACCTCTGTAAATGTTGACATTTTTCCTAATTGCCTCATCTTCTTCAAGATCTTCAAGAAAATCTTGGTATTGCCTATAGAAGAAAGAAAAACTATTTTATCTTCTCCAAGAAATAAGAAATTATGTTTTCTCCATTTTCAGCACTATAAGATAAACGTGTTCCAATTATTGTAATATTTATAAAAGGTAAACTATGGATGTTGCTAAATATCTTCATCGGCTTAAGAATCATTTTCTTTCAAAATTATGACAAAAATAGATGAACAGAAGATGATATTAAATACAAATATGATAATTCCTCCTCCTCCCTCACTAAAACAGTTTTAATGACCAATCTGAAATGCATGAACTTTAAAACTACATAGTCCAACAAAAATTATTATGATTAACTTTAACATGGTAAATATTAAGACATCTTCACTTTAAATTACAAGATACATTTTAGAAGTAGTGTTGCTTTGCAATTTACATTTCATGAAACACTTTTACATGCTCATTATTTAGATCAGTCTCTTAACCAACACTAAAACCACTTCTTGAATGGTCCAACAAACTTTTTTAGAGTATATTACCTTCATTTCTGCTTAAGTTATATAAGAAATATCAATGAGCTGCTTTTTTTTCTAATCTCAAACTGTAATTACTCAGCTGATATTTGTGACATCACAAGGTTGTTATTTTTTGCTATATCTTACCTTTCAACTAAAATGCTTACATTAACAATGCAATTATCAGGAACTAATTACTTAATCCAGGTTAAATGTTATTATGACATCTTATATCAATTACAGCAAAACACAGTATTAACACTGATAAAAACACAAAAACTAACACTGAATGTAAGGATCAATACTCTGATATCTACTTCTTTATAACATAAAAACTATTAGAATATTCTCTGAGACAAGTGTAAGCGTAATATTCTCTGAGACCAGTGGGACCTTTCATCATCTGTGTCCATGTTTTCTCTATCCTTCGTCAGCTCTCTCAGCTTCCAGTTCCTGCGCCGCTGGCGTTTGGTACGATCGTAGCTCTTCTTGATTAGCACCTGTATCAAATATTTGCAAAATTACAGACTGGAACCACACAGTAGGACCATAAAATTCAATAACATTAATAAGTGAAAGTTACAGGAATACCAGAAACGTCAGCAAACTGATTAGAGTGGTTATACCCCACAAGAAAGAAATAAGAAACAAAAGACATCAGAAGAGCTTTTAAAATTGTTCTACATATTTATATAAAAATATACTTGGGCATAACTTCATAATTGTTAAAGTTTACAAAGTACAATTTCCACTGGCTCTAATTACCAAAAACTGCAATTTTTTAAAATCAAACTTCAGTTTTTTTCAATATTCACAAAATTCTGAAACATCACAGGATAACAATCCCAATAGCAATCACTTAATACTATATATACTATTCATAGCAGAATATCTTGGAGAACAGTATCAACCAATTTGTGCAATGAATAACTGAAAATTTTACACTATATAAAAATCTTAGAAGATAGTGGTGATCCTGAAATTCCCAATTCGTACTTCACTCAAACCATGTCCTCATTTATTAATCATATCTTTATTAACTAACAAACCATTTCTTTATTAACTTATCAATAAAAGAAAATGGTGGTATGCAGGAAAATGAGGGATCTTACTCTTACCATTACTTTATTATTTTCTCCAATAAATAAAGAAATATTCATTTGAAAACATTAAACAGATACAAAGTAGGTCTTTCACAATGTCAATCATTGTTGTACATGATCTTAAAGTCATCATGTTAAACCTTAAAGGTTTCTCAGTAGTCTTTAAGACTTGAAACCATGAAGATTATTGCCAACTTTAATTACACTCAATGTTTATTAATGTGTCTTCACTCTAATGCATTTTTCCCCATTGGAAAGTCAGATATATATAGAGGAGAGACAGAGAAAAGATCTTCTGTCCAATGATTCACTCCCCAAGTGACGACAACGGCCAGAGCAGCACCAAATCAAAGCCAGGAGCCTGGAGCCTCTTCTGGGTCTCCCACAGGGGTGCTGGATCCCAAGGCTTTGGGCCGCCTTGAACTGCTTTCCCAGGCCACAAGCAGGGAGCTGGATGGGAAGTGGGGCTGCCAGGATTAGAACCAGCACCCATATGGGATCCCAGAGTGTGCAAGGCAGGGACTTCAGCTGTTAGGCTATAGCACCAAGCCCCCTAACAGATTTTTAAACTGAACAATACATTTAAAATAAACATCCTAAATAGAATGAACTTGAATAATTTATACAAGATCATCAACTATAGTTCCAAATACAAACAGTATCATGTCTTTTGACAGAAAATAAAATTTTGACTACAAAAGCAATAAAAGAATCAAGAAATCCTGGGCTTACCACAGGACCTCAAGATTGAGGTGTAATTTTTGAAAGTGTGAGCTCACACGTCTGACTCATGTTAGAAATTACAATCAATCGCTGCTTAGACAGAAAAAAAAGAGAAAAATGGCTTACCACATCTGGAACTTTATCTGAGTTCATTTTGTTAACATGCTCATCATTTAAATTACAGTTGGCCAAATCAAATCTGAAATGCAAACATTCAAAATTTATTTATCACAGCTATCACAAAATGCTTCACACTTTAAAAGTTTTAGCAATTTACAGAAAACATGGTTCTATAGATATTAGTAAAGATAACCTCTGAGGGTCATATATTACCACTATGCCCACCTCACCAAGTATGAGGGACTTTAAAAAGTTAATAAAGGACCAGCACTGTGGTACAGTGTGTTAAGCTGCCACCTGCCACATCATCATCCCATATGACCACCAGTTCAAGTCCAGGATGCTCACTTCTGATCCCGCTCCTTGCTAATGTGCCTGGGAAAGCAGATGGTCCAGCTGCTGGGACCAGGCCCAGGTTCCTGGCTCTGGCTTGGCCCACTCCTGGCCATGGAGGTCATTTGGGGAGTGAGACAGTGGATGGAAGATATCTAACTATGCCTTTCAAACAAATAAAACAAATCTTTAAAAAAAATGCATGAAAAAAGCACACTATGGAAAAACTATGAATTTTAACCTTTTGTTGCAAAGCATCTTTTAACCCATCTTCCAGGAAATCTTTGAAGTACCCTCATAACCTGCCAATTCAAAAGGAAACACTAATGTACCAATCTAACTTAAAGATTTAGTAGAATGGCTTCACCTACTTTATAACACAAATCAAAATCCTTCATTTTCCCAATAAAAGAATCCTAGACCCCAGTAACAACATTAAGATGTAGGGAAAATTGGTAAGCTTCAATTCTTAAAGGACTATTCATATCTTTAAACATCCTTATGGTATGAGTACTGCATCTTAAAAGTGAATACTGAGTAGCACAATACACTAATTCAAAAAATTATTTATTCTTCCATAAAAGCTGTAAATATGGACCTAACTGCACAACTTCATGATTCAATTCTCAAAATTTTAGAACACATGACTCTTTTAAGATGACTACAATGAAATAATCACAGGCTTCCATCCAATCCAGTTTAATCTGCTAACAACAAAAAAATGGCACAGCAAGTTAAACCACTACCTCTGACACTAGCATATCCCATGTGTCAGTTCAGGTACCAGCTGCTCCACTTCTGACATATCTCCTGCTAACAATCCTAGGAAAACAGAGGAAGATACTCAAGTGGGGAGACTCCTTCAGCCACAAGGGTAACGAGATGGCACCCCAGGCTCCAGCTTCAGCCTAGCCCCGACCAGGGCACTACAGCCACCTAGGGAGTAACACAATAGATGGGACACTGCTCTCTAACTCCGACAAACAAAATAAGTAAATCTTTTAAAAAAAAAATAGTAATAACAAAATTAGATATAAACTATCTCAAAACTCATCCTTTTGGAATAAACAACTTAAACATTTTAGATATTTTAGATAGATTTGCTGACTCCCAAAGAAAACGCACAAGGCTAACTGGCAATTTAAAATATTTAAAAGTAATACAAACCCCAACACGAGGTCTCCAGGATTTAAAAGATGTCCCAAATGAGTGCGACAAAAATACTGTTTATCTGTATCCATTTCAGATGTTTTCTGTACCCAGACTTCCCCAAGTGTATGCTTAAAAGAAAAGAAAATATACTCTTCAATAATCATAATTCAAAAAGCATATCGCAGAAAAATACAGAAAATTAAGCACAGGAATTATTTTTAAGAACTCTGAGATACTGTCAAAACTAATAAGTTAACAAATTAGGAGTATGGAAAGCAAGTCACAGGTATTCTAAACCAGTGATTTCTTTTAAAGGCTTATGTAATATGCCTTTCATAAAACACTGAGTAACACCTAAAAACAGATATACATAAAAAGGAAGGATTTCACAGGAAGACAGCCCAATACAGACTATGTAAACGGGCAAAGAAAAAAAAGGGTAGGATAATTTTAGACCAAGAAAATACTCCATACAATGCTGTTGTGACAGAGTTCAGGAGAAAAAAGTGGAAATTCCAGTAAGGCACTAATAGAGAACCCAAATATCAAATTAAATCTTTTGGACATTTATTAGTCTGAGGTGTAATCTCTTATTTTTGAAATTATTCGTTGCAGAAACAAGATCTTAATTTTAAACTAGAAAATATCCCTTTTCGACAAGCACCTAATACTGAATTCAAATTTCGTGCTAAATTAATTCTAACAAATGCCACTGTGTTTAGTTACAAGGACAGAACACATAAAGTGAAAGCATATAATATTAAATCATAGGTAAAATTAAGGAATCTGAAAAAAAGATGAAAAGGTAAAGGATGAGTCTCTTATTTAAGAAAAAAAAGAAAACAAATTCTCAATGAGAGATAAATTCTATGCAACAGAATTTACTTTTTAAATACTGGACTGTCCTTATTTGCAAGACTATGAACCTGCCCTACCTAAGTACGTGTTTTTGAAAATCAGGAAAACACATTATTTTTGTGTTACCTATCAGAGGAAATGAACTATTCTTCAAAACTTACTATAAATGGAAAGTTTGCTCTTGAAATAGGAAAGTATCCTGGCTTCCATTTACACTGATTTTCCCCAAACTATCAAAAGTTATTTTTGTCTCAAACATATTACCTCAAAAGAAATGAGAATCCTTATTAGAATTTAAGTGCCATTTCACAATGTCATTTCTGTATGGTTAACAGCATACAGAGGAAACTCCTGAATGCTATACTGTTTTACCAGAAAGTAATCAAGAGGCTCTGGAAGACAAAGTCATGTCAAAAGGACACGGGACCATCCAGAAGGGTCTCCTCCCCTTGGCTAACCGTGGGCAATCTGAGATTCAAAACAAGAAGGAAAGACAAGGGAGTGTGGCAGGAAGAGAGAGAGGGAAGTGGAGAGCTAAGGAATTCGGCCCATCATTACCTCTCCTGAGATCACAACGACCTCACAGAAGGCCAGACACTGCCGGACACAAATGGAAACTGGCTTCACCGGCACAAGTGAACTGACTGAAAATCCGTGCTTAAGAGAAGAAAGGAAGCATTCTCACAGCAGAGTATTTCAGGAAACCAGCAGCCTTAGCTAATGACACAAAGCTCCTCCTTCATAAATAATAATAGCTAACAGAAAAAAAACAATAGAAATACTACAAACCTACCCTTTAGTTACCTTAAATAATTGATAATTTAGGCAACTGTCAAAGGATGCTAAAGCTACACAGAAACAGGAAGATCTGATATCTGCGTATCATCACTCCATAAACTGCAGGTCAAAAGGAGAAAGAAACCCAGCATCACAACGATGGGATCTGGTCATCTCCACAGCAGTGAGAAATCACTTGTTTGTTGATAGGTCAGGAAAACAGCATCTCTTTTACATATTCTGTCCAAAAATATGTAAGCTAAATTTAGTCAAGCCTTTAGATTCACTTTCCAATTGAGAGACACTACAAAAGAAGCAAGTTAAACCCTAGGAGAACACAGTCAGACAGATCCAACGCACAGGGTCCTTTACAGTCACATGGCCCAGCTGTCTCAGCAAAACAAAAACGGGGGATACAGAAAAGGGTGAGACCTAGTAGTAAATAAATGGTTTAAGGGGTAGAATATTTACATTTAATGTGCAATATTTTAATGTCCACTATTCTGAACCTATAATCAAAGACATTTGGGGAGCAAAAGAGGAAATCTAAACGCAGATTATCTGGTTTATGGGCATGATACTATATGTAGAAAAATACCCCTGATGTTGGCGTGGTGCTGTAGATTAGGGGTCCGCCTATAGCCTCAGCACTCTACAGTCTCAACTGTTCCACTTCCCATCCAGCCATGTGCCACCATGCCCAGCAAAGCAAACAAGGCCCAAGTCCTTGGTTCCCTATACCCTGCTGGAAGACCAGAAAGAAGCTCCAGGCTCCTGGCATCAGAAGGGCACAGCTTTGGCTGTTGTGGCCATTTGGAGAAGTGAACTAGCTGAGGAAAGACCCTCTGTCTCTCCTCTCTTTCAAATAATAAAAAAAAATCATAATCTTCAATAAAAGTCCCATGTTAAGCAACGCATACTGCATTTATATTTAGTGATGAGTTTTAACCAGTCAAGAGGTTGACTGATCACTTGGTCCTCCTCTACAAGCAAATGCTTTTTTACAACAGAAATTGTTTTTATAAAATAAACAATTTTCCAACACAAATAAGAAAAAAATGATTTTACCAGGAAGTATCAGTATTAAATGATAATTTTAATGATTATATAAAAGCATATGAAATGCAATTTTTTAACCTAATATGGTGCAACCTTAATTTGGATTCCACAATTTGAAAATACCAACAAATAAGAAAAAAGCAACTGAAACCAAAAGTCAGCCACAAAAACAAAAAACAAAAAACAAAACAAAAAAACAAACCCGAAAAGAAAAGTGGGGAGGATGTAGTTCACCTTTTTTGATATCATTCCAGCGCCAGCACTACGTTTCAGATCTCGAACTATGCTGCATTCCATCACGATAAACTCCTCGAGCTGTTTGGGATGGCACAAGCTATTGAAAGGATGACTCCAGAAAGTGCTGCCATCAACATCTGCAACTGAGAATAAGCACAGAGCAATGAGGAGCAGTAACAAGGACAAACACAAAGAGATGTCACCTGAAGGAATTCATCAAGTGTGCCAACCAGGAGCAAGCTGGTATGTATCACCTGACCAGTATTAGGTCAACAGCAACCACTGTGACCACTGACTCTCCAGGTATTACTGAACTTCTAGGAGTACAGGAAAAATACCAGCTATTAAACATACTTTAGTAGGTGCCACAATTAGATCTAAATGCCTTTTAATGACAACAGCTCCAGTTATCTCATGTCCTAGCATTTTCTTTTAGAAACATGTACCAATGCATCCATCTTAATTTTGCAGAAAGGACTTTTCAAAGCATTTGTTCATTTATCCATCTGAAAGGCAGAGCCACTGAGAGGGGGAAGCAGAGAGAGAGGAAGAGGGAGAAGAAGAGATGGAAAGAAAGGAGGGATGGAGTGGGACATTTGCAGGTTCACTCTCCAAAGGCCTCAAAGGCTAGGCTGAATCCAGGAGCCTGGGAACTTCACCTGGGTGGAGGACGGCCCAAAGCCTGGGGACCCTATTCTGCATGGGACACCTGGAAGAGCCTCCAGGCTCCTGGCTTCAGATCAGCATAGCTCTGGCTGTGTGGTCACTGGGGAGCGAATCATCGGATAGAAGATCTTCCTCTGTCTTTTCTCCTCTCTGTATATCTGACTTTCTAATAAAAATAAATCTTTTTTTAAAAAAGCACTGAATAATACAAACTTGAAAACAATATCACTGAGAATGTGTGACAAAATGAACACAGTAATTATTGCTTGCCATATAAAACAAGATTCTCAAAGCATAGTTTTCAAAACTTACCTTGTAGAGTGTTTGGATCTATGAGATGGATGGCACTAGTTACTCGCACACACACACAGATTTGGCTCATGTTTCCCAGACTTTGTGCCAACTTTGGAGACAGGCAGACAACATTATCCTAGACACAGGAAAATTTAAGAAGAAGAAAATCCTAAATAACACTCAGCAATGTAAACCTGATCTGTGCAACCAAAACGTTACTTTTCATTCTTTCAATAACAAAAGCTCAAAAGAAAGATTTAGACCTTAAAGAAATTGAAAATAAGCTAATCATCTTATGACAGGCAAATTTGTCCTAATAAAAGTACTTTAAAAATCTTTCTAGGGTCTATTCATCAAACCACTGTAAACAAATGTCAAATTTACTGCAATTTGAATGTTTATCACTCTCTAACAATATAGTGTGCAATCTAAGCAAAGAATTAACTTGAGCAGCACAATTTTCTAAATCTACTTATAAGTACTTTCAATATTCATAGAAAACAAATTTCAAAGAAAGTTTGTTACATTACCATACCAACTGTAATCAAAGGTTTAGTAAGTTACACAATATACAACATATAATATTTACACAATACAAGGTATTTAATATGTAATACTAAAATTTCATGCTTAATAAAGTCACATATGCTTGAATACAAACAGAAAAGATAATGTAACGATGCTTTCACATTATATTAAAATACAAAAATATTAAAATACAAAAAGTGTGATGGCTCAACTGGCCAATCCTCAGTCCACAAGCACCAGCATCCCGTATGGGTGCTGGTCATGTCTCCGCTGTTCCACCTCCCATTTAGCTCCCTGCTTGTGGCCTAGGAAAGCACAAGAGGATGGTGTTGGGACTGTGTACTCGGGTCAGAGACCCAGAAGAGGCTCCTGGCTCCGGAAAGGCCCAGCTCTGACTGTTGTGGCCATTGGGGGAAGAAGCCAGTGGGTGGAGGATCTTTCTCTGTCTTTCCTTCTCTCCGTAAGTCTGATCTACCTTTCCAATAAAAATAAATCTTTTTTAAAAAAAAAACCTGTTTACATTTTTTACAAAGCAACTCACCAATACTTATTTTAATATCATTCCTTCATTTAAAGTTTCATACAACTGTCCCGTCTGCTAGATCCACAAGTTTAAAGAAAAATAATATCTAAAACAGTTGCAATGAGGTCATTTCACCTTAAAACACAAGATAAAGGGCATTTCAATTCATAATTATCAATATGATTACTTCTACGGAACATGTCCAAAAGTTTTTACAAACCATTTAAGCTGGATATTCTAAACCTTAAGCCAATCTCAGAAGAAAACCAGGAGACACAAATTACACTCAAATTAATTAATTACTTGCATTCTTTTACAGTTAAGATTAAATGAGAATAATTACCTTGCATATTGGAACAATTTCCACAGAAAAAGTGCTTTTGTAATTGTATGTATTACTATGGATGTCCTGAGATATCAATCTTTGCGATGCTTTGTATCTATTAACAAAAAGTAACAAGAAATATAAAAACAAAGGCCCTTCTATAGACACAGGCTATCAATTTTCACCAAGCAGATCATCACTGTCAACACCTTGACACCTGCTGTACTAGAGCTAATCTCATCCGCTTTTAATTTAAAACCTTCAGTCTAATTACATTCTACCTATTTTCAACCTTATCCACTAAAAACCTACAAAATTTGCGCCTGGTCACAGTTCAGTATGTTCTCTGTACACTATCCATTAAACCTACCCCAATGCCTGTTACTCCAATATCTTTTTTACTTCAATTTCCACCTTTAAAAAGTTCCCCACTTTGAATCGTAAGTCCTATTTCCTCCCTGAAGTTTCTTCACAAAGCTCTCTTACACCTCTATTCTTCCTGTTTCTTATTTATTAAATGCATTCAATCAATGGTTTAGCACAAAAGTACTTAGTATCATGGAGCTCTAGTCCCCAAGGAGATAGTTAGATGCTCTTCAGTTAAGTTACATCTTAAAACACTTAAATCTGATTATTTAAGACCTCCTATAATTTTTATTAATTTTTAAACAATATTGTCAAAGCCTAAACAAGAAATGTGACTCGGGACCCAGCAGCGTGGCCTAGCGGCTAAAGTCCTCGCCTTAAATGCGCCAGGATCCCATATGGGCGCCGGTTCTAATCCCGGCAGCTCCACTTTCCATCCAGCTCCCTGCCTGTGGCCCGGGAAAGCAGTCGAGGATGGCCCAAACCTTTGGGACCCTGCACCTGTGTGGGAGACCCGGAAGAAGTTCCTGGCTCCTGGCTTCGGATCGGCATAGCATCGGCTGTTACGCTCACTTTGGGAGTGAAGATCTTCCTCTCTGTCTCTCCTTTCTGTATATCTGACTTTCCAATAAATAAATAAATCTTTAAAAAAAGGAAAGAAAAGAAAAGAAAAGAAAGAAAGAAAGAAAGAAATGTGACCCTTTATTTCTTCCAGGTCCCCAGACTTGTCACATTCAGGTTCAGAACATACCTACAGGGAACTGTACACTGAAGAAACTCTACCATCTTCTGAGCGTGCTGTTTGGAGGAGTAATAGAAATCCAGACCATCTTGGAAAAAAATACATGAAAGTAATTACGTAAAACAAGTCTTTCCACACAAATTAGATTCATTCGAAATAAAGTCAAATTAGAAAACATAAAGATTATATTGTAGCAATAACAGATGAGGAATACCACTTAGCATTTGCTTGATAAAAGGACAAAACAAAAGGGAGAAAAAGTAGTATTTACATAACATTTGTGATATTTATGTGATATTTTATGTGAATGGAGTAATCTATCAAGAAAATAATAGAAATCCAACTAATTAAACACAGAAAGTAAAAATTATTTTAAAAAAGAATAAACAAATTCTAATACATGCATAATCATAATGGAGGCACAGAATTAAGACTCTCTCAAAACCAAAATTGTCAAACTGACAGAAAATAGAAATAACACATATAACTCAAGTAACTATAAAGGTTGATTTAAATGAAATGATAAAACCTAGTCCCAAGAAAGAATGATTATTATTTTTGAAGCATTCACATAACATTAAAAAAATCACATATTAAGATTTTTCACAAAGTGTGTAAACCTCAAGCAGTAGAAAGCATTAGACATCATCATCTAATTACAAAGCGGTGCCACTAAGAGTGACCTTCCCAGGGACAGCAAACCTACTTGTTAATAAGGACTTTTCTTGCAATTAATGCTAAGAGGAAACTAAAATTCCTCATAATAACCAAAACAATTTTGAAGAAAATAAATACTACTAGGAAATCCAAATCAACAAAGTACACAAGCATATATAATTGATAGTTTCAAAATGTATACTTCAGTTAAATGACAGGACACTGTGATACTGGCACTGAGATCAGGAATACAGGGGCTGGTGTTCTGGCCTAACGAGCTAAAGTAAGCCCCTCTCTGGGTATCAGTTCAAGTTCGGGACACTTCAATCCAGCTGCCTGCTAGTTCCCATCTGAATCCTGGTACCCGGCTTCTGCCTGGTCCAGCCTCAGCTGATGTGTGCTAATCTAGGAACTGAATCAGCAGGTGGAAGGTCTCTTCATTTCTCTTTATCTCTAACTCTCTCAAATAAATAAAAAAAATTTAAAAGAAACAGCAGTGTATAGATCATTGGAACAAGCTGATACTGCAGGAAAAAAACCAAAAACAGCATTTAGAGCCAACAGATCTTTGACAAAGAATTCATGGCATTCACTGGGGGAGAGCAACCTTTTTATCAGAACAAAGTATCAGCATAGAAAAAAAAGATGAGCCGGGTCTGGCGCGATAGCCTTTCAAGTATTTTTATTTTAAAAAATATAAGTTATCAATAAACTAGCAAGGAAACAAAAGATCCATTCATATGAAACCAAGAGCGAGTAGGAAAAAATCAGATTAAATACTCTGGATCAAAGAAGCGTGCTGTTAAAAATTGTAACCCATCTGATTTTGAAAGAGACCACAAAATCTATTCCAGTCTTTCCTTACATCAAAAGATTGTATGTGAAGATTATTTCTACCACAATGAACAATGATAATGATGTTCTGCTTCCTTGGCTAAAATATTTAGGTCTTCTTATATCCCACAAAATTACTCAAAAGGAAGCTGTGTAAAACAAAGATGTATCTTTCCTGGTGGCTAGCCACAAATAATCAAGCACTATGCTAGACAGTAAGATGCCTTATTCACAATAACTAGTCAATAAATTTGTTTTCACCGACAGAACGAACAATCTTGTATCTACTGGTAATACATTCAAGTCAGATGCAAAACTTTAAAAGATTTTCTAGAGGTGACAAACTGATACTAATTTTTTCCCTCCATTTAATGACAAAAAAATGGTACCATCACACATTTTTCTCAACACACGTAAGACAAATGAATGAAAGAAACATTAATTCAATGCAGGGCTTCAAATACGGAGTATAAAAACGTAGTCATCCTTTAGGAAACAGCTATCTCAAAACAACAGAGGCGAGCATACGGCTCCTGTCAGCAGCAGCAAGCACCACCCACTCTCCTTAAGCCAGGGACTTTAACGTAGTAAAAACTCGTGCTTCACAATCATTTCAGAAATACTCATTCATTATCCAACACATATAAGTTTGTAACATCAAAGCAGTAAGTACTCAAGATTATCCAGAAAATATAAACAAGCTCCAACGTTCCATCTTCCAGAAATCTGTATTACTATTATTACTGAATTTAGACTTTTGAATTTTATATCTATCAAAAATCCCCTCTGCATAAGAAAAACATAAACAGTGCAAAAGAACTTAAAGATATCATAAGTTGGTCTCTACTACATAAAATTAACTTTTGATGAATTTTCTACTGCAGCACTGTAATTTTTATCAATGTGGTTACTGACAAGCAATCCGCTGAGGGAAGGAGTACTGGCTCATCTCCATGCTCTAAAGCCACAGCAGGACACCTAGCACCAACCAGATGCTCAGTAAGTATTCTTAATTCGGGTACAGGCCATAATCAAAGACAAAGAAAAATTTTATTTCTAGGTCTTTGTTATATAACTGAGTAGCCATATGTAACCTGAATAATCTTAAGCCAAAACAAAGAAAATAAAAATTCAGTTCCCAGGTTGCACTAGGTACATATCATATAAGTGACGGCCACAAATGATTAACTGTAACGATATCACACTGGACAGAGCAGACACAGATCTAAGGCTTTTATTCCTTCTCCCAGAATGTTCTTTTGGATATTACTAATTCAGATATTATCAATAAAGATTATTTATATAAGCTGAAATAAAACTATGACACTTTGAAACTCTTTCCAATTTTAACTCACCATGAATCTCTTTGATACGAAGTGTATTTTGATGCATTCCATATTTAAGGATCAACTGTTCCAGATAGTAGAAAGTTTTCTTGTGCAAAGTCTAATAATGCAATAATTTTTCAACAATTATCATTTGATAAATGTAAAAAAGCCATTTATAAATCTAGCACACTCACATACCTTCTACAGATATGGTACAGTAACTTTAAAAAACAAAAACCGTATTTAAAAATTATATATAGGGCCTGGTGAAGGCAGCTAAAGTCCTCGCCTTGCATGCACCAGGACCCCATATGGCATCAGTTCTAATCCTGGTGCCCTGCTTCCCATCCAGCTCCCTGCTTGTGAAGGACGGCCCAAAGCCTTAGGATCCTGCACCCCTGTGGAAGACCCGGAAGAGGCTCCAGGCTCCTGGCTTCAGATTGGCACAGCTCCAGCCATTGTGGTCACTTGGGGAGTAAATCAACAGATGTAAGATCTTCCTCTCTGTCTCTCCTCCTCTATATATATCTGAATTTCCAATAATAAATAAATAAATTCATTTTCAATAAAATAAATAAGCAAAAAATTTTAAAAATCTATAACACAGGGCCCAGTGTGATGGCACAGTGGTTAAGGTCCTCGCCTTGCACGCCCGGGATCACATATAGGCACGGGTTCTATCCCAGCGGCCCTGCTTCCCAGCCAGCTCCCTGCCTACGGCCTGGGAAAGCAGTCGAGGACGGCCCAAAGCTTTGGGACCCTGCACCCGTGTGGGAGACCTGGAAGAGGCTCCTGGCTTTGGACTGGCTCAGCTCTAGCCGTTGTGGCCACCTGGGGGGGTGAATCATCGGACGGAAGATCTTCCTCTCTGTCTCTCCTCTCTGTATATCTGCCTTTCCAATAAAAATAAAATAAATCTTAAAAAAAAAAATCTATAACACAGCAGTACTTATTTCCAGTGCTAATCAGTCTGAACAGTGCAAAGGTGAGACTGGACGAGCTGTTTCTAACTGACAGAGCTAAGCTATAGACGCAGTCTCACTCAGAATCTCTCCATTACCTTCTGCCTGACTTGAATCACAGCCTTCCAGAAGTCCTTGGCTTCTACTCTGTGGCAATCTCCACACATCTGGGACTGAACAACATAATCCACCACAAACACTTGTTGAAGGATGGCACCATTCATCACCTGATGAAACAAAATAATCATATCCTCTCAATTTTACATCACTCAACAATTTTATTAAAATGTTCTAATAATTTAAAATATTTTTCTATGAATGCTTTGAAGATACCAATCAGGCAAAGTTAAAGTTATTTGTTACACTATTTCAAAAATGACATACAAGTTTAATTTCTAAGACTGAGTAAGCATTCCAAATTTACCTAGTTAAACTGGTTGTGAGGCTATTTTCTGAATAAGCTGTACACAAAACATTTTTTATCAGAAACCACCTGGGATGCCTCTGAAGCACAGATCCTAGGGCATCAGGTACTAATGACAGCAACTGAGTTAGACTCACAAATCTGATCCAATTTCTGTACGTCATCAGGGCGATCAGCCTAACTGGACAACCACTGCGTTAGTCCATGTTTTACTTCAATTTTTTTCCTAATGAAAATAACTGAAAAGACTATTCATTACAAATCGTCACCATTGGCTGCTCTTACCAGTGACCTAATCATCTGTACAGATCATCAAGGGTAAGCAAAGCGCAAACATTGACAATACAATCTTCTCTAAATAAACTATCAAAGTCATCCTATAACTCATCACCACATCTCCATTCCACCACCCGCATTTTAACTGAGAAAACCATGCACAGCTCACCTCTTTCTGAATAGTCAATTTAACTTTAAGTCTCTTAGAATGGGGCTCAGTCCAAACAAAGCCTGCATCTACAAGCCGTACCTTCAATAAAACACAAAGAAACATAAATTGTCACCGGAGACAAGAGAAAGGATAAAAAGTCAACTCATTTTAAAAATCAGATGTCATCTTCACTTAAAAACTTCTTTTTCATACATGTTAAAACAATCTGTGATTAGCCATTCCCACAAAAAATCCCCATCAAATGTATGTTAGTACCAGTGAACAGTAGAACAATGCAGTAACTACAGAAACACAACTGGTAAAATTTCAGCTACTGCTCCATTCACTTCCCTCAGAAACAACAGACCTCAAAACACCTATCGTTGCTCCACAGTCCAGATGTGAGACTGGGTACAGCCCAACCCCCCACCAACAGACACCAAAACTCCTTACACAAAATGGCACAGTTATTGCACAGAACTATAATCTCTACTATAACATTAATAGCTGTTATACCATACTGTTTAAGGAATAAGAAAAGAGTCTACATATTCAAGTGATGAAATTCTTTTCCAAATAGTTTTGATCCAAGGCTGGCCCACAGATGATCAGCTGTACTTACTAGCTCCAATTCCTTCTTCCAACTTTTTATTTTCATTCAAACTGTATCTTTACTGCCATCACTGAACAGCTCATCAGAGCATCTAATGAGCTCCACACTGCTATATCTACAGAACTACTTGAACCCACATGGCCAATCACTCTGCTCAAGATGCTTCCTCGGCCTTGCAGGACACTCCACTCACCTAACGCTCCTCCCCCCCCTTACCTGCTCCTGTCTGTCTGTTTTGTCGGGGTTGCTTCTCCAAAATTCTACCACTGAATGACTCCACAACTGAGTTCTTCAATTTCTCCCTTCTCTCTTATTGGTCCTATCCAAGTCAAAGCTTTAAATGGCATCTATAACCCAAACTCCTTTATTCTAGACTACTTCCCTTCTGACTACCCAGCTACCTACTCAGCATTTCCATTTTTGTCTACTGAATATCTCTGAATCACTGAGGTGTGTCCTAACTGCCCCACACCGAGCTGTTCCTCTTCGAGTCTTTATTAAGATTCATTTATTTTTATTGGAAAGGCAGATATACAGAGAGGAGGAGAGACAGAGAGGAAGATCTTCCATCCCTTGATTCATTCCCCAAGTGACTGTAACAGCTGGTGCTGTGCCAATCCAAAGCAAGGAGTCAGGAACTTCTTCCGGGTCTCCCAAGTGGGCGCAGGGCCCCAAGGCTGCTTTCCCAGGCCACAAGCAGGAAGCTAATGGGAAGTGGAGCTGCCGGCATTAGAATCGGTGCCCATGGGATCCTGGTGTGTGAAAGGTGAGGACTTTAGCTGTTAGGTTACCACACTGGGCCCTTGAAGTCTTTCTTAATCCACTAACCCAGCTCCCTCCTTCTGACTGCTCAGTGAAGAACAGTGATGAGTCAAGCAGCATCTGAAAATGCTCCTGGCCTCCAGATCCAGAAGCTATCCACTTTTCACAACCTCCAATGCTAGCTCCGTATCATCATTTCTCATTATCACAAGCAGTCTTCAAGGAGTCCTATGACAAATGCGTCCTCTGAAAAGTGCTATGCATGGCTTTCAAAAATTTCTTTAGCAAAAAAAAAAGTGTCTCCAATTGCATTTTTCCAAGAACTTCCAGAAGTAGCCTCATACTAGGATCACTTCCCATGTCCTGCCTCTATCTTTGCCTCCTTCACAACTGTACTAAACACAGCACCCACATGGTTCTTTACAAACCATTACACTCCAAAAATAAACCAATTCTGGAGCCAGGGCTGTGGCATAGTGGTTAGTCACCACCCCATACTGCATACCAGTTAAAGTCCCAGCAGCTACACTTCCAATTCCGGCTCCGTCTAATATGCCTGGAAAAGCAGCACAAATCGGCCAAGTACTTCAGTCCCTGCAACCATGAGGGAGACCCAGAAGCTCATGGATCCAGACTGGTCCAGCTCCAGTGGTTGTATCCTGCTGGGGAGTAAACCAGGATGGAATTTCTCTCTGGCTCTCTGACTCTGCCTTTTGAATAGATAAGTAAATTTTAAGTATATATTTGTAAATATATTTATCAGTCCTTCCTCCCAAAAGCCTGCCAGATCACGAATCGGATGCACTCCCTGAGCCCCCTCACTTCATCTCCACTCCAGCACACAGGTGGCTCTGGGCCTCTGTCCTCCACACTGATGCTCTTCTCTCCCTTACCATCTGTTATCTTTGCTCAAGCAGTACTTCTCAGTGAGACGCCCAGCAGCAACTCCCATCAGTCTGAAATCACAACTCTCCTCTGAACAGTTCTTTTTCCCTTCCTAGATTTCCTGCAGAGAATTTATGCCTCTTAATGTACTATACAATAGATCTACCTATTTTGTTCACTGCATTCTCTCTACACCTGACTCCCTAAGCCAGAACGCTGTCAGTTAGGGATTGTCCTCCTTATTCACTGTCATACTGTAACACCAAAAGCAGTTTGCCAGTAGTACATGATGAACATGTGATGAATGATCTGTTCAGAAATTTGACAAAATCCTGAAGTATAAAAGCAAAAATATCAGGAGAGAATAAAAACAACTGTTTAAAAGGCAAATCAGAGAACAATAAATGTTTAAACTATATCATTAAAATCCTCAGAAAAAAATCAAGAACACAATGTAACATGAACATGAAAGTCTACGCAACTCAAAAATATTACTGCTGGGGAAAAAAAAACTGCAGAAATACTGGAAGACAAAATAAAGAAAATTGCCAAGAACACAGAGGTAAAAAAGATTCTAAAAAATATGCATAAAAATTAAAAATGAAAGGATCAACACCTTTCTAAAAGAAATTGCTGTGGTAAGCAAAAGGGAGAGGAAAACAAAGAGAACAGTTGGATTTTGTCAGAGCTTAAAAGATAATCAAAAAAAGATTCAGATTCTAAAACCAAAAGAATCCTTTTCAATTAAAACAGAGTAGAACAGAGTCATAAAATTTAGTACAAACAAAATTGAAATTATTAGCTGAAGAAGTAAACTATACTCTAAACAAACCTGATTTGTTTTAGAGACATCTATACATTGACTTTAAGTGCCAAGATCAAATATTTCCTTTGGAAAATAAAAATAAAAAGAATCAAGTAACATAGACCTAACACTATAATCTCTTGAGTTATGCTTAGCAATAACTTCATACTGCTCATGTTAACAACAGTGATATTTAACAGTCATCTGGGAATGCCATTTCTGGAAGTCTGCACTTTCGCAAACGCACAGCTCTGAACAATGCATTCAGTGTTTGACCTACCTTACTCAAAGGGGCTTTGATTTTTTTTAAACACAAAGCAAGAAGTTCCCTGGATTCTAAACCACACTGTATCCAGGTTCCCGGTGGCTGAAAATATCTGAAATAAGACAATAAATCCGAAATCTCTTAGGAAAGCCAGATATTAGCAACAATAAGTTAGTAGCAAATATGCAACCATGATGCTGATTATTAACCAGGCACAATACCAAGGTTGACCTGAAGCACTTGGCTTGAGCGAATTCCAAGTTTAGAAAACTCAGACGAGCAGCTTTATTTAGAAAATAAAAATCTGGCTGAGAAGCCAAAAATCATCTACCAAAACAGTCTTATTACTACTTGCAGTCACTATCAAAAACTGCTGTGAGGATGACACAACACCCAAGAATCCCTTGAAGCCTGATTACAAAAAACAAATTTAAAATGGTGTAAAATGGTATTAAAACGCTTTATTATATATTCCAACATGCTAACATAAAGGTCAATCAGCGCCTCAACACCATCAGCACCAAATCAAGCCACTCATTCATAGTCCAAGAGCCTTTTCAAACTTTATAAAACTGAACGTTTAAATTCTTAAGTAAAACCCGACTAAATAAAAATGTAAATCCCTTATATATGTGCTTCATGTTTTTTATTCCCACCTACAAAGGAATTAATGCAGAATATAGCACCAACTATGCAATAAATGCTGTTAAGTAAATATGGGTACTTAAAAAAGTATGTAATGAAGAATTATAAAAGATTAATGCTTGATAATATACATTTTCAATAAACTGTCTGAAGACCCCTTGTGGGTACTCTAAGTGCCCACAGGCTTTCCCTTTACTATTATTGGCAGCTTTCCCACACACGTCAGCTCTGAGTGACGTAACACCGTAATGCACCATACCTTTGACACTGCTTGCAGAAAGAAATGGAAACTTGTTTCGGAATACCTTGGCTGATGTCCACTTTACTTCGCAAACAAGCCACACAAATATTGGCAGGATTTGGACTAATCGGGACACCGCATTCACAGCACAAGCTTAAATAACAAAGGATATTTTTTCCAATTAGACACACTAAATTTAAGAAACCTATTAATAAAAGTTTCCAAGTTAGGCCATAACATTTTTGCTTTATTAAAACATGTGTTACAAATAGTTACTCAAAGATGTAATAAAGAACAACCTTGAAATACTGGGGCAACCAAACAAGCATGGGTACAATTCTGAAAATCCACTAACCATAAGGCAATTGTTACGTTAAAGCAAATAGAGGCAGACATACTGATGAAGAAACCAAAGATTATTCATTTTAATTGTAAATAATTAAAAGGCAATAAAAAAATATTAAAGTACTCTTATCCACACCCAGCCAAGACCATGAAGAGGTAATCATTGTTAATCATTTGCATATATCCTTCTAGACAGTTCCAGGTAAACACAACATCTACATTATTACCAGTGAACAAGCATAATAAATTTCCTAACAGCAAGAATAGAAAAGCATAAGGATAGGAAAGAATAAGAAGCACTGTTACTCAACATACTCTCTAAAACTGAAAGACAATAAAGGCAATAGTCAATAATAAGTCAGTGGCAAAAACTAAGGAGAAAACTCAAGAGTGCCCGGGTTCCAGCGCAGGCAGGGAGCTAGGACAGCCCTGGGCGACACCGCACTAGGTCCCGACGCCTGGATCTCCCACTCAGCTTCCGGCCTCCAGGACCGAGTTCTTAGCTCCGATTCAGCCCAGCCAGAGGATGCGATGGGCAATTAAGGAAAGAACCAAAGGGGGGGCATTGAAGCTCAAGCTCAACGTCCCTCTGAATCTCTGCCGCAAAAATTAAAACAATGAACATGTAAAGTCAGTTTATCCCTTCAACTTTTCTTAAAAATGTTCCCGACTGACACACAGTAATTGCATATGTTTATGTAGGTCAGTTCATGTATACACTGTACAATGATCGGTGTAATTAGCAGATTCCTTATCTTACACTTCAATCATTTCTTTATGTTCAGTCCATGTTAAAATCCACCCAGTGATTTTGAAATATACATTATATATTCATCCTTCTACGCAATAGAATACAATTTATCCCTGCTAGCCACCTGAACTCACTCACCATTTCCCTTCTCTTTAATGCTACCACTGGATGTCAAGCCTTTAAAACTTGTAACTTCATTTGTTCTGTGCACTCTCTCTGCTGCTACATTGAGAACTCTGCCCATTTACATGGTGCATACACAAGACCTCACAGTACAGGGAGCATTACAGCTGCCTGGCTAACTCTAAGAAACATTCCTTAAAACAGCTCTGAAAAACGCAAACACTTCTCAACGGTAGCAATAGAATGATATCCAAGTCATTTCTAATAGCGATGGCAATATATTCTAACGCCCATACTCTGGACAATGCCAACATATAAACATTCACCCAGTGCAGGTAAAGCAATCAAGTCAATTCAGTATAAATGATGGCAGTATATTATAATTTGAACTGCACTGGGGACAGGTGCATTTACTATAAGTGTGAGGAGTATCATAATTCCAAATGCAATGGAGACTGCAAAAATCTAAAAGCACCGATGCAGAACAACACTGTCCAAAAAGTCTTCCCATGTCCAAGGGAAGGCATTGGCCAGCCACAAGTGGTTACTGGATATACGAAATGTGACTTAGTGAAACAGAGTAATTATATTTAATTTTAGTACATTCAAAGTAAATTTAACGGTGTAGCTAGTGGCTACATCTTGGACAAAGTCAATAGTCTGCATGCATGCAGTACCTTAACCCTCTTCAAGCATGCATTTGTTACAGAGAACTTACTAACTAGAAAGGAATCTGATTTTCTACAGGAATGAAGTTTGGGTTATCCCACCCCCCATTTATGACTAAATAACGATTCCCTCTGCAAAGTCGTCCCCCTGCTCTGCGAGCTTAGAGGCTCCCTTTGGGCCTCCGGAGGTAAGGGGTCACTCACATGTGTCCGGGGCTGCGCTCAGCGGACTCCGTCAGGTACTCCATCGTCGTCCGGACCTTACCTTAAAACACACACACACACACACACATCAAAATGACAGTGGTGACAGGTAAAAGGCCCGGCGTCCCCTCCTCACGTCTTGCTCCGACTCCCTGAATAAGACAACGGTTTCTTAGACGACTTAGCAAAGAAGCCACTTGCTCAGGACCAGGCCGAGGAACGTCAGGGGTTTCCACGCGCGGCCGGTCCCCCCGACCCGGGGCCGGCACGAGGTGTGCGTGGCCAGCAGGCTGGTCGCCCTGCCAGCCCCGCGGCGCCCCCGCACGCAGTCCCCCCGGCCCGGGGCCCCGGCCAGCGAGGTGTGCGTGGCCAGGGCCTCCCTCACCCTGCCAGCCCCGCGGCGCCCCCGCCCTCTCAGGTCCCGCACCCCGCCGGGGCGGCCACGCACGCCGACTGAGGCCGGCCCGAGCCCGGCAGCCCGCCCCGAGCCCGGCAGCCCGCCCGGCCCCACGTCACAGACCCCGGCTCGCGGCCCTGCGGCCTGCTCAGCACCTCCACTCTAAACCCACGCTGCCGGGAACACGCGAGACGAACTCACCTCACTCCCAGCGGCCACCACAGGTGGGCTCCCCGCACCGCGCTTCCGCACAGCCAGGGTCTCGCGAGACGACTCGCCGGGGAGGGCGGGGCGAGCAGGCAGCAGAGGCCTCTGGGAAGCCGGCGGGACCGCCCAGCTGGCACTGGCCTTCCTGTAGTTACCGGGCAACCAACATGGCCGCGTGTACGCTTCCGGTCAGCCCTCACGACTAGGCGCTTGCTTCTGGGTTAAATCATTATTTGATATAAATGCTACCTGTAAACATTCTACAGAGAAATTGAGTTAATGCTTGCTTGCCGTGTCCTAATTGCTCAAATGATTATTAGTGAATAAAACAATAAAATATAAGGCACGATTATTTGTAGAAGTCTGTGACATTTTTAGACTGTCAGGAGTTGCTTCCTGATACTAAATATTTTCTTAAGAAAATATACATTTTACATTAGCACAGACTCCAATTGTCTTTTTTTCCTGAGTTTCAAATATTGAAGGGTGCAGCCATTCGTCACACCACAAATTTCAAGAAATACGAGCAAACTTTCTGAAGAGTGACCAAAGAAAGTCTCTCGTCATTTCTGACCAGAATACTAAAGTCTTCCATCTGTCCTCCTTAATTGCAGACTCTAATCCACCCATCCTAAACGCGGTTTTGATTTTGTCACACTCCCTGGCTCTGAACCTTTCAGTGGTTTCTAAACACCCTGGGAATGAGTTCTGTTTTCTCTGCATGGACATGTGGTTGGGACTCTTGTCACATCCCCAGGCACACAGCCATACAGACCGACCAGCAGTCCCTCACGGGAAACAGTCTACTTCTGTTGATGCCTGGTACACTCTGCCTTAAAGTCAGGCCTGCAATTCATTTCGTAGCACTGCTGTAATGAATTACCACATACTTAGTTGGCATAAAATCCACAAGCTTAAGCTTCTGTTTGGGACTCTGGCATCCCATATGGGCCTCGGTTTGAGACCTGACTGCTCTACTTCCTGTCTAGCTGCCTGCTATTGCACCAAAGCAGCAGCAGATGGACAATGCTTGCACCCTGTTGTCCATCTGAGGGACCAGGGTGCAGTTTCAGCTCCTGCCTGCAGGCTGGACCAACCCTGCTTGGGTTAGTGAACTAGGGGATGAAAATGACCGAGAGATGAAAGATATTCTCTCTTTTTAAATAAGTAAATAAATGTAGATTTTTGACACACATCATTTGTCATCTTTACAATTCCCAAGTCTAAATGACTTGACAGAGCTGCATTTCCCTTTGTGGCTGTAGGAAAAAATTTGTTGTCTTGCCTGTTTGAATTCTTAAAGCGACCTACATCCTTGGCTTGTGATCTACGTCATCTCTGACTTCACCAGACCCAACATGGTAATCCAGATCATTGATTAAATTACATCTGTGAAATCCTTTCCACCACATTTAAGGAATATTTTTACAGATGTGGGGAAGTATAACATAGGCATCTCTAAAGAGACATCATTGCCCACCACCCTCCTCTTCCCTTGTGACCCCCAACTTCCCTGAGGAGCTGGGGAGTTCAATGCCTCTCCTTCACATGTGGTCCTGTGTAATTATGTGTAAGAGATGCATGCCACTGTGGAGAAATGGAAGCTAAGATTTCTATCTTGCATGCTCTGCAGTTCCAAATCCTTGCACAGTAATTTAGGCCTTGTTCTTCAAATCACCTTACACTGAGTACAATCATTGCTTGGCACAAAACATATCTCCAAATACACACTGGTCAGTTAATTATCCATTTGAGCCACAACAACTCTGAAGACGTTTTTCTCCATCAAAGTGTTTACTTAGTCTCTCTATGCCACAATCCCAAACCATCAGGTACACAGCTGTGAAAACTGTAAATAAGTTGTGTTTACCCCTCATTGGAATGAGGATGTATTACCATATGGGTGTAGTTTTTCCCTCCAAAACTCACGTTAAAATTTTGTTCCCAGTGGATTGGAAGGTGATGGGCTCTTTGGGGCTTGAAGAAGCACTAATGCCACTCTCAGGAGACCAAGTTAATTCTTCAGAAACTGAGTTCTTGATCTCATGGGTCTGGGTTAGGTTACTGAAAGCAAGACTTCCCCACCCCCTCACATTTTGTTTCTTTTGTGAGTGCCTGAATGTCACTGTATTACCACGCAACATGAGTTCCTCTCCAGATTTGTTCACCTGCTCTTGGTTTTCCAGCCTCCATATCATGAGCCAAAATAAATCTCACTCTATGAATTACTGAGTCTTGGGTATTTTTCTGTAGCAACAGAATGCAGAAAATTTACATGGAAGAATAAACGTTTCCTAGGTTCTGTGCTTTGGTGGGGGTTTGGGGGTAGGCTCTGAGGAAGCAAAGGTTTGCTTTAGACTGGATGCTATCAATATGAGAGAGTTCTTTAAGGTTAGACTAGCTCAAGGAATCCTGTTTGTAGGAAACAGGGCTGGAGGAGAAGCTGCACCTGCCAAAGCCATTCATTTGACAGAGAGGGAATGATTAGCGTTTTGTGACTGGCATAGTGAGCTTGTATTTGGTCTGTGCTTAGGTGAAATTATGAAATAGCACTGGTCTTTTTTTTTTTTTTTCATTGTTTCAGAGTAACTTTGTCTATGGGTGAATTCTTTGAAACTGGTTAGGAAAGTAATATGACCTAGCATCAGGTCAGCTTGTTCTTCACTCTTGTTTAACACGTTTCTTCAACAATTATTGATTTGACCACCATTGCTAAAGAGCCAGGCTTGCTAAGCACTGCATATGTATTAATAGGCGATGCAGACATAGTCACCATTCTCATGGAGCACATATTTTACAGGTAAACTGATATTCTAAAAGAGTAGAGCAGGTAAAATCCTGCAGAAAATAAATGGCCAAACTGGGACCTGAGCTACACTTTGTCTCTGTACCCATTCCAGACTGCCTGCTCCTCTGAGGTCTGGGTCATTCATGCCTATTTACAGGCCATTAATAAATGACATAAAAAGTAAATTGATCTAAATTGATCTTTTCTTCTGCCCAAACTCTACCAGCAAGAGTTCCATATGTCACAAAAAAAATTGTTTGATGTTTCTTATTATTAAAGCAATTTTATTTATAATTATTTGAGAGACAGAGAGATAGACAAAAATATTACAAAGGAGCTGGCTTACTCCCGCAATATATATAACACTGATTCTGGGCCATGCCTCAATGCTGGACCTCAGTCCTGGAGACAGCATTTGCTCCTCCGTGAGTATATATTAACAGGAAACCAAAGCTGAAAGTGAAGTTGTACCCAACCACCTGCCACGTCTTGATTTCACCCATTTGCAGTAAGCCTAGGATGAGCTGGCAGGGATTGATCTGAGTAGAATGACGCTGGCCAGGCATGCTTGAGAGAAACTCCCATTGCACTTGATTTATTTATTTTAAAGGTTTATTTATGTTTATTTGAAAGGCTGATTTTTACTAGAGTGGAGAGACAGTGACAGGTCTTCCATCCACTGGTGCACTCCCAAATGGCTGTGATGGCCAGGGCAGAAACAACCTGAAGTCAGGAGCTGGGAGCTCTTCCGAGTGTCCCACATGGGAGCAGGGACCCAAGGACTCGAGCCATCCTCTTCTGCCTTCCTGGGTCATAAGTCGGGAGCAGGATCAGAAAGGTGGTGGCCAAGGTTAGAACCAGTGCCCATATGGGATGTGGGCACCACAGACAGAGGATTAATTCACAATACCACCTTGCCAGCCCCTGCACCTCTTCTATTTAATTTTCAAACCTTTCCTGAAAAACACTAGGTTCTCTTGGCCCACAGTCTTTATATTCAATATTCATCCTTACTCAAATTAAAGCTTAATGTATCTTTATAAAATTAGCTTCTGTATGTTTGATCTTCTGTTTAGATAAGAGAAATTATTTGTCTATTTATTTGGAAGGCAGAATGGCGAACACTGAGAGACAGAGTGAGAGAGATCTTCTACTGACTGATTCACTCCTCCGGTGGGTACGCCAGCTTAGGCAGGACCAGACCAAAGTCAGCAGCCAGGAGCTCCATCTGGGTCTTATACGCATGGTTCGCAGGGGCCAATATCCTTGAACCATCTTTCATTGCCTTTGCAGCAGCAATAGCAGGGAGCTGTCTAGGAATGTGAGCAGCAGAGGCCCAAACCAACACTCAGCTACAGGATCGAGCTTTGCAAGCCAAGGCTTATCATACTGCACCACGACACCAGTCCTGACCTTGATTTTAGAATGAAATTTTTAGATACAGTGTTGTGTACATCTCTACTTCTAAATCAAATATGGACTCCCATTGAAACTGTTAAATATTTCTTGATAGGATACACTTAAATAGCAGAATGATGGACTTATGCTGGCTTATATAGGACTACATTCTTGAAATAATATGGGGGAAGTCAGTGGGAGGGGAGGGAATTTGGGAAGGGATTAAGGGAAATCCCAGAGCCTACATAATTGTATCATTTTTAAAAATGTAAAGAAAAAAAATCTCTTATTCGTTTTTGTCTGGAAAGGCAAATTTTACAGAGAGGAAGAGACAGAGAGAAAATTTTTCCATCAAGTTCACTTCTCAAATAGCTGCAAAGGCTGGAGCTAAACTGAACCGAAGCCAGGAGCCAGGAGCTTCTTTCTCGTCTCCCATGTGGGTGCATAGCCCCAAGGTTCAACCTCGGCTATTTTCTTAGGCCATAAGCAGAGAGCAGGATGGGAAGTGGAGCAACTGGGACACAAATGGTGCGCATATGGTATGCCAGTACTTACAGGTAGAGTATTAGCCTATTGAGCCATTGCACCTGCCCCTGGAATGGAATTATTGGAAGGACTAGTTAACATAGGCTCCTGGCCAGCTAGAAGTTAATACTCCATTCTCATCATCCATGGAGTTATCAACATGGATGTTATTTTATAGTAAAATCCAAACAATTTATTTCCTAATCAATTAAATAGAATACAAACACATTTCT